TCTTTTTCTCCATTCTCATGGGCTGGGGCAAAAAACATGGCACCAACCAGTTCTACACACACAGTTGGGGACCACCTCCAGGCCCAAAAATCTGGATTCTTGAATCCGTCCTCCCCAGATGGACCACCACACTGTAACGAGAATGAGACCCATGTACCAACTTTAAAACGATCTAATTTGAGGATAGGTATCTTGGTTACAGTGGCTTAGACTTTACCCTAACGATTCTACCCTTCCTTCTGAGTAAATAGGACATAATCCCAAGGGTCTTATACCCAGCCAAGTGTCGTGTGGTACATCTACCCAGACAAGTGCACAATAGTTTCCACAAGTTTCCCTCTGCTCAGGAATGATTTAGGGGCAGACAGAATAGGAACCCTTGCCCCTAGCCTGGGCCAGACAGCGAAGTCCTCTAGGCTCAGAGCAGTGACTAAGCACTACATTGACATGAGTAGCATGAGAGGGGGACAAGGAGGGACACAACGGTGACCTCTGACCAGATACTAGCCTGAAAAGAGGAGACTGTGGCCTGGCACCAGAAGTGTGCCCCCCACCACATCACCCCTGCCAAGGGCGGAGTCCTGCTCAAGCTTCCTAGGATGCAAATACAAGCTCAGGGAAAGGGAGAGGCAGGACTCCAATCCAGAGCAGTTTCATTCCAGGGCAGGCAAATGATCTGAGTTCCCAGGGAGTGACTCCTGCAGTTTTATGGAATGTACTACCTAAGAGCTTCTGTTTTCTCCTCTGAACTTGAAAGTATGGGAGGCTGAGACAAGACAAACAGCAAGGAGAGCCAAGTGTCCTTGCAATTCGGGGATCCAGCTGTGCCCCAAACCACCCCTGCCTTGGAATTAGTAGCAGGCCAGCTGCATTGTTTTGCTAGAGCTGCTGTGACAAATTGCCATAAACTGCGGGGTTTGAAACAACAGAAATGAACTCTCTGATACTCCTGGGGGTTAGAAGTCCAAGATTCAGGTGTCAGCAGAGCCACGTTCCCTAATAAGACTCTAGGGGAGGACTGTTGCTTGCCTCTTTCTAGCTTCTGGTGGTTGCCAGCAATTGGGGGCACTCCTGTTAGCTGCGTAGCTCATCATGTGGCCTTCTTTTTTCTGTGACTTCACATGTCTTCCCTCTGTGCATCCCTTTGTCCAAATTTTCCTCTCCTCATAAGGACACTAGTCATTGGACTAGGAACCCACCTTAACTCGATTATGTCTTCAAAGATTCTATTTCGAAGTGAGGTTACGTTTGCAGCTGTAAGGTGGGGGTTAGGATTTGAACAGATGTTTTGGGGGAGCACAATTCAACCCCCAACACCAGTCAGTAAATTCCCTGAGCTTAACCACTTTGGGTTGGGTTTTTGATCATTTGCACCCAGAAAGAGGTAGCCAAGGTTCACCCCCCAATCTCAGTTGACTGCTGAGACCCACAGCTGTGCCATTAACTATAGGACAACTATAGATAGAACTGAATAGACTATATGTCTATTCAATCTCTCTCTTTCAAATGTCAGTGGCTCCACTCTGGGCAGAGGCCCAGGGTCATACAACGCACTCAAGGAATATGAGACTGATTGCTATCTAATTAATTAACCAACACTCAAATAGTGAAAATAGCAACACTGAACTCAGCATGGTTTATCACAGGGCACCAGGCTGAGAGGTGGCTAGCCATTTTTATTTTGGAAATAGGAAGGTATTGATTGTCTGCATGGCTGTATTTCAAGATTTCTCCCTGATTTTGAAAGATCACCTCAGGTGGCATTAAGAACATCATTTCCTCCTCCCCAGACATTTAATTTCCAATACAGCACACAAGCCATGCTTTTTTTCACATGCATGGCCGTGTTGACTTCGGGGCCTGAGAAGAGGCTGTAATTTCAGCTTGTTATACTAAAAATATGAAAATAAAACTCATCTCTGTAGGATCATTTTAAATGAAAACTGCTTCCTAGAGTGGAGAAAACTGATTGAAAGCGAGCACAGGTCTCTGGGCAGGAGGGGTAATGGTGGAAGGCAGAAGCCAGGTCTTCTGCAGAAAACCAATAGGAGCTGTCGAAAAACCCACTCAGCTCAGGTCAGATGTCTGGTGACATCTTCCCCAGTTCCTTTGGCTGGGCTCCAAAATCACTGTGAAACACCACCAGCCACTGACCACTCTCTTCCTTGAATCCTGCTTGGCTGAGTATCATATATCTTCTCCATGCCAGACTCAGTCCACAGCCAGCCAGCAAAACTTGAGTGGGCAGGGGAATCCCCTGGGTAGCTCAGTTTCTGAGAAAAGCAGATTTAAGGCTACACTCCTGGGCATTTTCATGCCATGGGTGTATCGGTTTCTTGTGGCTGCCATAACCAGTTATCACAAACTGGGTGACTTAAAACAGAAATTTATTCCCTCACAGCTGTGGAGACCAGATGTCCACAGTCAAGGTGTCAGTAGAACTGATTCCTTCTGGAGGCTCCGAGGGAGAATCTGTTCTGTGCCTCTTCCAGCTTCTGGAGGTGGCTGGCAAACCTTGACATTCCAGGATTTGCACTGTACAACTCCGATCTCTACTTCCATCTTGATATGGCCTCCGTCTGTGTGTGTCTGTCTTCCCATCACCTTCTCCCTTGTATCTCTGTGTCTGAAATCTAGCTTTACTTTCTTTTATAAGGACACCATTAGATTTAGGGCCCACCCTAAATCCAGAATGATCTCATCTGATAGTCTTTAACTCAGTTATATCTGCAAAGGTCCTATCTCCAATAAGTTTCCATTCACAGCTACTCAGGGGTTAGGACTTTGATGCAGCCATGGTGAGAAGGTAGGGACACAATAGATTTGGGGAGAGACTCTGAAACTTGCATTTTTCCCAATAATGCAGAGTGACTCTTTGTACTTTTTGCTCCCCAAATGACTGGTGCAGGTGATGTGTAGATCATACTCTAACAAACACTGACTTAGTCTCTGAGGATTCAAAGCTGAGTAAGACATGATCCCCTCCCTTGGAAAACCTATTGTCTAGCTGAAAATGTAGACAGATGAACCAATGATTAAAATACAAAGTACAGTCTAGGTGGCTCAGTCGTTGGGCGTTTGCCTTCAGCTCAAGGCATGGTCCCAGAGTCCTGGGATCAAGCCCTGCATTGGGCTCCCTGCTTGTTGGGAGGCCTGCATCTCCCTCTCCCTCTGCTTGTGTTCCCTCTCTTGCTGTGTGTCTCCCTGTCAAATAAATAAATAAAACCCTAAAAAAAAAAAATACAAAGTATAGTCTAATGATCCCAAGAAAGTCAGACAAACCAGGGTTCAAATTCTCTAGCTCCTTAGCCTGTCTGAGCCACAGTTTCCTTATCTGTAAAATACAAAGTAATTCCTACTCCATATCGTGATGAGATTGAGGCTATATAAATGCTTAACATTGTTGAGGGACTCAAGAAATAGACATTCGCTATCATGAAAGTGGCAAGTATACCTCCTTGCTGTGTGCCTTCCACATTCTAAAGTCTTTAATGAATGTCCGTGGAAGGCAAGAAGGTCTTACCCTGAAGAAATGCAGCTGGGACAGGCGAGGCTACTCCTGAAAGACCCATTTCAGGATTTTGATATATTCCATAAGCATTCTGGAGGCACCTGCTGTGTATGGAGCTCAGTATGTAGGCACTTGGAGCAAAGCCAAGGAAAACCCACATTGGGTTGGGGGGTGGGTAGGGACCACCAGTCTGCAATACAGTGTGGTCAGTGCAAGGTGGAGGTAAGCCCACCACAGAGAGGCACATTCGAATGCAATTAACCATTTCCTTCCTTTGGTTTTCCATCCTTTACATTCCATTCCTTAGCACTCTTTGTGTCTATTGTGTGACTCTCCCTAACTGCAACATATGCTCCAGTAAACAAACTAAATCAGGGAGAACTAATGACATCTTATTCCTCTTCAGAAATACGCTTCCCACACACTGGACATTAAGTACCGTTATCAGACTGACTTGGAGCCCCAGAAAATGACTAAAGGAGAAGGACATTACCAGGTTTCCCTCCAACATCCCGCAAGGGGAAGGAAGAGAGCAAACCACTACACCCCACATTGTGTGCACAGGAGTCAAGTCCAAGAAACCCCAAGTTGGCCTGGGGGCAGGGGGATGGTTCTCAGGAGGGAGAGAATGGAAAATTTCAGAGGGATGCTCAGCATGGCTCGGTAATGTGGCTAACTGCTGTCACATATGGTGGTGAGTCAGGAAGAGCCACCTACCTGTGAGAGGGACACATCAGTCCTTACTCTCACCTGGAGGAGTCCGTGGACAGCCTCTCACACGCCAAAAAACTCAGGTGGGCTCAAGTGGGAACAGCTTAGACTACAAGTGGACCCCAGGGGAGTCTGTGACGACGGGGGTGGGGGGAACGGGGTGCCTGGTGTTTCTGCTTCCACAGATCGAATGACTTCTGCACCTGTCTTTCACAGCCTTTGATAAGGGCTCTCCGCCTTACACGGGCTAGGCCCACCGTACACACGTGTTGACAGAAATGACTAAGTGACCGCATGAAGGCTACGGAGGACCCCGAACTCCCCTATCCGAACCTCCACTATAGGTAATTCCACCTGGCCCGAGTGGAACCCCAGGGCCCGGATCCCCCCCCCACCCCCGCACCCCCTTTCCGCTTCGGCACGGGCAGTCCAATCGCGAGGCTCCAGAACAGTGGTGACCAAGCAAGCAGGTGGGGCTTGGCGCCTCTCCTCCCGGATGCCCGCGCTTCGCTCTCCAATCCGGGGCCAAACCCTGCCGGGGTGCGGTGGGGGGAGAGTGGGAAGGCCCCTCCCCAGAAGCTGGCACCAGATGGCGCGGAGCAAAGCGGCGCCCGGCTCGCCCGGGAAGCGCGGGAGGAACAGCGCACCTGGCGGGGGCGGGGGCCGGCGCGTCCCCCGCGCGTCCCCGCGCCGCTCGGCCACCCTGGGGGGCGCGGGCTGTGGGCAGGGGCGGCCGCTCGAGCCGGCCCTGTCCCCCCGGCCGGCGCCTCGGCCTCACCTCGCTCACCAGCCCCTGCCAGTCGCTCTCGGTCCCGTCGCCGTTCATGGCCTCCTCCTGCAGGCGCGGGCCGGCTTCATGGACGCCGCCCTCCTCCGCCTCCGCCTCCGCCTCCACCTCCTCCTCCTCCTCCACCGCCTCCGCCTCCACCTCCCCCCTCCGCGCCGCCGCCGTCGCCCCGAACCGAGCCCCGCGCGGCCCCGAGAGGGCCGGGCGCCTCCGAGCCGCCGCGCCGCCGCCTGCGGCCGCCCGCGCTATTGACTCAACGTCCGCCTCCGCGGGAAGGGGAGGAGGAGCCGCGGCCTCCCGGGCCGCAGCCACAGTCCGCCGGGCCCCGGGGCTCCCCGCGCAGCCCGACCTCCAGGTCCCTGGCCTCCCGCTCCCCGACCCGCGACTGCCACGCGGGACCCAGCCCCTGACATCCCCGATCCCCACGCGGGTCCCCTGACTCCTGCGCCCGGGCCCTGGCCCCACGCCTGCCATCCCCGCCCCTGCGCCCAGCCTCGCAGGGAAGGAGCGGGAGGGGGCCTCAGCATTCCGGTCGCTACTGGCTCAGAGATTCCTGCTCTCCCCTGCCAGGAAGTGGGCTCCACAGGCACCTACGTGTCCACTGCAAGAACCAAGCCCCCAAATCCAGCCAGCCCCTGACCCACTTCCAGAGAGTAAGCCCCACCGGGGCAGGTCAGTGGCTTTGTTCTCCAGGGAACGTCAGGTACGGGGCCTGGCACATCGTAGGAGCTGTACAAATATTTGATGGTCATGGGAATGAAGGGACCACGTGTTATATATTTAACATTGTTTTTGAAGTTCCTAATGTTTACTTATATTTATTTCTCAAATTATCAGCTGTCTTAAATAGAAAGCAAATGAAAAAAAATGAAAATAAAACAATACTGAAATCTAAGTAGGACCCAAACCTCTGAGTGGGATGCTGCACTCTTTGGGGCGGGGCGGGGGGGGGGTGAGTGGTGGTGGTGGGGAGCAGGCTGGCTTCAAACAGAGACCGTCCCCTGAGAGGAAGGGCTGAAGAGAATTGTAGAGGGCAGAGAGTCTTCACAAATAAGTCATTAATATTCAAGATGGTTTTCCCAGGTCTCCTAAACTCTCATGGGCCACCACCAATGTGGACTTTCCAGTCTTGCAGAAGCCCTAACTGAGGGGATAAGCAGGTAGGTTAAGAGGCTATGGACCCATTTACAGTTCTGGGAGCATCATCGCCAGCCTTTACTTATAATTTTTAGCCCCTTTTGGATCCTGGATCAATCCTGTGAGATGGGTGCTCTCTTCATGTACCCAATATGCAAACAGAGATCTGAAAAACAGAGAAACAGAGACCTGGCTAGGACGTCTGGCCCCAGAGGATCTCTTCAGCATCTTGGATGAACATGATGTACCACACCTGGGAGAAGGACATACCACATTTTATTGTTGGCCTTGTTTTGTCAGCCTGCAGACCATCTGTAAAATGTTAATAATTCCTTGCCCATGCCCCAGCCCGTGTCTGTAGCTTTGACTCTACTCTAGGCTCCGCCACATAACTAGCTTTAGCTAACGCAGTGTTTACAAATGTGCAGGAGGGCTAATCCTTGCTTATGCTCTTAGGAACCTGTGTGCCCTACCATACAAACAAGCCCAGGATAGCTTCCTGGATGATGGACTCAAGACCAACAACCAGCCAACTGCCACATATACAAGAATGACGCCAAAGACCCCCAGCTGCCACAGATGACATGTTCATGCATGAGCCCAGTAGGAACCGGCAGAAGAAGCGCCCAGCTGAGCCTGGCCCAATTTGTAGACCCCAGATCACATGGTTAAATACATGGCTGCTCTGTCTGAAGCCACTAAGGCTTGGAGTGGTTTGCTATGTATCAGTAGATAACCGGCATAGATGGTGAGGCTACTGAGAAAGAGCCTGGTTGGTCAGAACTGTCCCCAGCAGCCATTAACAAGCAACAGCCCCTGGCATCGTGAACCTTGCAGGCCTTCATCTAAAGAATATTCTACAACAGATTCTGGCAGGCCAGGGGCTCTGAGAAGGAGCCTGCCAGTCAACCAGGCAGCACAGTTATTCAGTGCCTGTTGTATACAAATACTGTATACATCCTGGGAATGTTCAATAATATTGCAGACCATGGTCCCTGTCCTGGAGGGTCTGCAAGCCTTACCATTGAGGTTTTGCAAAGTAACGTTCTAGCAAATGGGAAGAAAAGAAAGAGGAGGCTAGAATGCATCCTAAGGCTTCTGATTTCCTGACCATGCTGGGCCACCTAATCCATTCTCTTTTTAATCTGAGGAGGTGGAAAGAAGGTTCATTCTCTGAGTTGAATGTCTAGGGTTAACTCAGTGTCAAACACTTGTTCCTAATAGCCTGATCAACACCCCATGCTACAAAGCAAGGGATTGTCTGCCAATATATTGCCCTCTGGCAAACCATCTGGTTTCATCCGACCTGTCGAGGATCTACACTGCAGGAAGAGCAGGCATAACCCGGTCCATCTGCCTTCCAATGCCTCCTGGTCTGTGCCTCGTCTCAGCTGGCATTCAGGTAGAAAAGCAGCCCATCCTTTCCTGTTACCATGTGCAGCTGAGGCTTTCAGGTCAGCTGCTGCTCTGGAGCCTTCCCTGGTGATTTCAGGCGGCAGGACAATCCGGAAGCAGTTGCAAGCCCAGGAATCGCCACCTGAGAGACCACATACCTTTAAGACAGCCCTCTGTATGACTCTGTTTCCCCTATGTACTTTCCTTCCCTGCAGTTAGTCAACCAGTTATTGAGGTATTTAAAAATAAAATTGGGGAGGAAAATCAAAGAGCAGCGAGCTTCTACCCACCCCAGCATGTGGGGAGACTTTTAACTCCATTGACATGGCCTCTGTAGTTGCCTGGGATTTTCCTTAGAGGTTTCCATGCCCCGAGTGCCAGCTTGAAGCTGCTTAGCTTGTGAGATGAGATTTAATCACGAACTGAGGCAATGGAGCTGCAAGCGATTCTTTTTTATCTCTTTTCATTTATGTAGCCTGACATTGAGTAATAATAATAATTAGAGGCAGTTTAAGCTCTTAGGCACCTATACCAGAAGGCCTCTAGATACCTCATCAACAGCAGCCCAGGCTGACAAAAACAAAGCTAATTATATTGTGGTGAACTTTCATCAAAGAAAAAAACTGAAACTGCTCACCAACTGTCCTTATATCTGATAAAAGCGGTACTTTAAGTGTTCCAACCCACAGTCCATTTGCACAGGACCAATGGAAAACCAGGAGTGTCTTAAGTCTTTTTCTTAAATTTTCCACCCAGACACTAAGTATTGAAACGTTGGCTTTCACCTCTATTTTCACACCCCCTTAGCACTCTGAAAAATCTCCAGGGTCCCAGTTTTTCCGTATTGATTCATAGCCCCAGGGCCAGGTTTATTTATTTATTTATATGTACCTATAGTGTTAGAAGAAATTGCTTAGATGCTTTTGAGTGATGTGTCTGACTTTCAAAAGTTTGAGAGGGTTTTAGATGTGGCAACTCCAGAATAGCTTAATCTAAGATATTGAAGCAGCAGATAGACACTGATGAAAACCAAACCAAACCAACCAAACAAACAAAAACCTCCAGAGAGACTGGGAACAAAAGGACGACTTGAACTTGTTGTTGGAAATGTAGCCTCTCATCACCACATCTCCACTGACTTGCGAGATAACTTTGGCCGAGTCCCAACAGGCCCCAGACACCCAGGAAAGCCCTAAAGCTTTTGATACAACTTCTCCAGACAGTATTTTCAATTCAGATTCTGGCGGCCCAAGCAAAAATGTCAATGTTCTCCTTAAAGGGAACCTAGCAAATCTCTAGTTGAGATTTTTGGCTCAGCTTTTCTCTGAACTATGCAACTGGGGCAATACCCATGACCACTCCTTTCCCCCAGTCACCTTTCTCCTGTCTGAATTAGGAAATCCAGTCTGATGAGCCTGGGAAGAAAATGATCTATAATGATATGGTTCATTGTGATGTATGTTATGTACACACACACACATGCGTGCAGTGTATGTGTGTGTGTGTGTGTGTGTTTGTATAAAATTAAAAAAAAATTAATTCCATATAAGCCAACGTCCCCAATTCTTGCTTTTGTCAAAGGAGGGACATTTAGACAGATCCTGCCAGGAGCCCTCCCCCACGTCACCTGGTTGCTAAGTGCATTCCTTTGTTCTTGATTTTAATGAGCGGGGGGCGGGTGGAGGACTGCAGAGGACTGTAGGTCCTAGCATCTATGGCAGTCAGGCTTGCTACAGAGCCCTGAGACCCGAGGTCCCCTGGGCCACTGGCCTCAGCTCTGTAAAAGATAAGTCTTCGCCTACCTGGGGATGCTCTGCAAAGCACTTCATCCGTCATTTCCCTACCAGGGCTGGCAGCCAGACATCAGACAGACCTCAGTTCTGCCCAGGGTTCCTGACTCAGAGCATCTTCTGTCTGTTTGCCTCCTGAGCTCCTGGGTCCCCTCTCTGCCACCACTAAGCCCTCCTTACCCAGCAGCAAACAATCAGTTGCTCTCTGCTGCCCCTCCTCCCCCCAGCCCCGCTGGCTGCCAATCAGCCCGGCAGCAGGGGGTGGAAGGAAGTTCCACTCCCCGCTGAACCGCCGCTGAGGTGCTCAAATGACTGAGTGGGGCTGATGATGGCCTCGCAGGCCGGGACCCGCAATTGCCATCCTGGAGGGGCGCAGACCTGGACGTGATTGGCTGGGTCGTTGCGGGGCGGGGGGCGGGGGCAGGAGGCGGGGACCTGCAGAGCAAAGGGGCTGCTCCTGCGATGGAAGGGTTCTGGGAAGGGGGACCAAGAAGTCAGCAGCGAAGGGCCTAGAGCTGGAGGAGGCAAGGAAGGAAAGGAGGGACAAGGAGAGAGCCAGGGCCCGGTGGGGCACCTGAGAAGAGGCTAGAAAATCGAGAAGGTGGGGGAGAGAAGAGTGGAGGGGGGCGGGGGGAGCACAGGCGCAGGGCTGGGTGGGGGAGAAAAACAGCCCTGGCGGGTCTGGGAAATGGTGTGAGTCCGGGCCCCAAGGAAGGAGTTAAATGGTAAAGAGACAGGGAAAGTCGCTCTGATTACTCAGATTTGTTGTACTTATTGATAATGTATTTCATTT